AATCCTTTTATCGTGCATTTCCATTAATGTCCACTTAACTATCGGGCAACGTATGTGTTCTGGCAATTATTATTCCCTCACGATCCGACGTCACTTCAGAAACTGAACACCACTCCGAGACTCCTCGATATCCTCTACGTGAATCGCAAGAGTAATCGATTAATAAAGCCTCTATCGATAACCAGAGGGCGTTGATGTAACTCTAAAGTTTCGATCCTTAACGGCGGTAATTCAGTATCGCGGTATTGTTTAAAATATTTTCGAGAAATGGTGAACAAATTTGCGAGAAAAATGAAGAAAACGAAGAATATTATCGAAATTACACCACAACGTTCGCCTGAATAGAACGCTGAATAGAAATTCCACGTGTACTACAGAATGCATCAAGAGGCGATGGCGGCAGGTGCGTGGTTAACCCATAAGGGAATCTACGACTCCATTAAGTGGTGTTGCACCAGGCTGCAGATTACAGATTACTTACTTACTTGCAGATCTCTCTTTTTACGAACGGAAGTGGAGCACCTTCCGACCGATATACGCAACAATGTCGAAGTGGGTGGCGATGAGAACGTAGGTAGGGATGCAGACGATGCCACGGGGAGTAGGCAATAGTATGGGGATAGGCCATAATTGGTATAAAATCATCGAGCAAACACATCGGACAAGACAGCCTGAGGGTTGTGGGCGGCGTTACGTGCCGTTGCCTTGGGAACCGTGGGGCGACTCTGCTAAAGCACCCCTTCGCCTTGATTGCGCACAGGGCCAACCGCCCTGTCTACGTATGTATGTTCTACACCCTATCTATGTGTGTGCGCGTGAGTGTCACGCTGATACTGCGTGCATCTATATGCGGGTTTTCGCGAAAGCGCCACCTGGCCTCGTCTACATCCCAGATTTACAAGGCGTGCACACGGTCCGATTTTTCCTTGCATGCGTTACATGCTTTCTGTCGATTGTTCACAATTGTCGACGTACCGTCGCAAAGATCATCGCTATATACTTTCGAAAATATCTCTTGCGTTTCTTTCGTAAGATTTCGAGTCGAGTTTTTCCGGTCATTGTAACGAAATTATAATTTGGTTTATGTCTAAATATGGCAGGGTATTCATTATTTTTTCAAATAATTTGTCAAGTAATTCGATGAAAATGCTTATGTTTAGAACGAAGATTGAAATAAAAATTGTAGCGGAGTAGGCTCTAGTCGAACTCTCCCCCTTAATAATATCACCCCTCTCCCATAAGGGAATATTACTCCCCTCCCTCTCTGTTTGGATGTACCTATATACTTAAGTATTTCCACCGGCACACGCAACTTGTCGAGTGTTTAGTTTAACCGCACCCCGTGAATCTGCGTTTATATTCCTAATCGGGCTGGATTACGGTCAGTTTCGTCCTGTTCCTCATAAACCATGCCACGAGACATATGTTATTCTCCGAACGTTCAATCGCAACATGCGATGTTATTTTTTCGTTTTTCTGGCGAGACAGAATAAGACTCGTTGCACGTGTCGTTGGAGAACGAATAATCCGAACGAAAGCCCGTCAATTTGCATTTAATTCGCACAAATTTAGATTTTCATATCGTATTCGATTAAATGATATTCTGATTGTCCTACTAACGATAAATTGATATCGAGGACTATACTAAACTTCCTTTGCTCGGTCAGTCAACTTAGACTGCCATCGTTAAATTTGAAAGACGTTTCCTATACGTCTGACAAGGAATCATATAACAAAGTCTCGTCAAATTAAGGCCATCCACGGCCTCCCTTTCTCTGATTCTCAGTTCAATCGCGGTCAATGTCGAAACGTCGCCATCGAGAATGGATCGCATCCGTTACGGGTGATCGCGTAATTTCACAGGATCGTGGCTGCGTCAGATTCGCTGGCCGAAGAATTTAACGAGGCGCACGCGACTCGCCCTCCTCCGGTGCGATCACCAGTCATACACGTTCGATAATAGCGGCCCTCGTAAACGTGAACACCCTTAACCACTATGTTCTCGTTACACCAATCTCACGGTTGATGTATATTCATGGACCTGTCCGCGTATTTCGAACTAGAGAATTGTGTAAATGCCACCGATCGCTCACCAAGCCTATTCGAACGTTTAATTCTATCGTTCTGGTGGAACGATGGATTTCGAGTAATGTATGATGATGCACAGATCGCAATTTAAAATATTTCGGGAAGAATCTCTTGAATAGGGAACATCAAAATATTTATCGAAAAAATTAAGAAATTTTTAGTTAATTTCACTACTGTTGTTTTAGAATTTTAGAGATTTGACGATTTTTCATTCGGAAGAGAAATTCTCTTAATTTTTTTTTTTCAGTTCTCACCAGTGCCAAGTCAACTTTCGAATTATACGAAACGCAGTGTGATTTCGTCGTCGAGGAGAAAAATTAGTGACTCGTCCCATGAAACCTGTCTTTTCAGACGTCGCTCTAATGGCTGACGACGATTATAAAGAGGCACGTGCCTCTCTTCATGAGCGACCCCATGCAGGCTAGCACGCGACCACCGAAAGCTAACCCAAGAATCGCACAAGGTACAATTAATTTATTGTTCGTGCTGGTATAGTGACAATTGGGGGAACGCTGGAGAAAAACAGGATCGTTGTTTTCTTCTATTTCGTTCGAGGGGAGCTTTCGGGAACGGATGCTGTCAGCCGATCATCAGCCTTTGTCGTCGGATAACCAACGATCTCTTCGGAACGCTATATTTGTTTAACAGCGTTATGTTTCTCCATTTTGAAAATTATGACTAAAATTGAGAATAGTTCCTTTTTCTTTTAACGTTAGGAACAATCAAAGACGAAGGCAAATCAGTCGAACGAACTCATATGTTTCAGCTTAATCTCCATAAATTCACGGTTATATTATCTGTTTTTCACAGATATCTCCAGAAAAGCAAAAATAATGGGAAATTCCCAGAGTGAGAGGAAAACTTTGTTAGTTACAAAGTATGGAATCACGTAGAAAAATCCATCTCGCGTAGTTTTATCTTTCAAATAATTTCCCTTACAACATAGGATTTCTTCATTAAAAAAAAAAAAAAAAAGAAAAAAAAATGGAAACATAAATCATTGATTTATTATAATTTCTCGTTATTTCCAAGATACAATGATTTCAATCACGATCAAAGAGAATTTCTCATCATTCAAAGAGGAGGATCCATGCATGAAAAAAAAAAGAACGAAAGAAAGAGAGAACAGCAATAAGATAGATCGTCAGAGGAAAATATCGATTATATTTTTCTCGCGATAGGTATGCAGCGCGCGCGTCATTAGTTTTACAATATTTACAACGTTTATAATAGTATCGTATCGTACAACGCTCGGTGATTATCGCTCAACTACCAATCATACCTCCGATTCTTTAATTTACATCGATTATAAATAATAGTGTTTCGCAATTGGTAATGTGTACACGTATATTATACATATGCCTCGTGGCGCTAACATGACGGCCTTGAGGAACTGTTAAGAATACTAGAAGTTCGATAGTAAAATATTTCGATGATTAAAATGTAACTGGGATCGC